GGACAACCTATAACCTATATTTGGTGAAAAATCTGTAGAGCCCAAATTGGTTATCAATCCGTTTTTTGAACTTAGCTTATTTGGAGTGCTTCAAAAATTCTGAACCAACTTAGCTTAGCTGAATCTCTAACTCAACCCTTTTCAGACAGGCTAGCACTTTTTGTTGCTTCTCTTAAGCTCCATTTGTTTTTCAAGTAAATCAGGGGAGGGGGAGTTGGTCAACAGGAAAGTGGTTCTCATTGACCAACAATTCCATATTTTTTTTAGTTTTTCAGGTCCCATGGTAAATGACTACCTCTTTTAATAATGACTTTTTGATGGATGAAACCGTCATTGTTTAACTTAGCTAGGAAACAAAAGAACATGGGTAATTGTACTTGTCCAGGTAAGTTTACCTAGGTAAATGAAAAACCAATGGGGCCTTACATGAAAGTGTAAAATGACTGTTTATTTGATCAAAGTAATTTAAACAAAAGAAATAATTGAAGTGACATTTTGAAATAAAAAATAAATAAGGCATTACAAAATAGGGTATGAGACTATTTTGTAGAAATTTAACAAAAGTAGGAAATTGTAAAAGATATAGAAATTAAAAAAAAACAAGAAAAAGATGGAAATATAATAAAATACAAAAAAACAAAAGTTGCAGAAAATATAACAAAAAAGATGAACTACAGAAAAAATACATCGAACCAAACAGTTGAACTCATGACCCCAGACTGGCCAAATCCGTCAGATCCTAAAACCAGATATCATAAAAAACTAGCAAAACCTTTAACTCAATAGGTTCAATTGGAAAACTAGTAAAGCGGTCCCAATTTTAGAAAATTGGTCAGTTTTTTTGAAAATTTTTAAACATAAATGCAATCTTTTAAAGGTTGTAACTTTACACTTGGATGTTTGATAGGGGTGATCTTTGTCAAAAAAAAAAAAACAAAGACACTTTTTAGCCTCAAATATTAATTTTTAATAAAAAATATATATTAGAGCAGAATATAATTATATACTTTAAATATATGTATATAATTATGATATAATTGTGTGTGCGTGTGTGTGTGTTCGCCAATCATCACAGTTCAACCTTGGTTAAACCTCTAACTCGTGAATATCTCTCTTTCCATGACAATGCTAGGTATAATTTTGTGAACATTCAAAAAAAAAAACAAGGAAATACAGAAAACACTAAATATTAGAACAAAAATAAAAATACAAAAAAAATTGCAAACAAAGAAAGAGAGGAAAGTACAAAAAGACAAAGAATTCAATAGAATACAAAACTTCTAATGCAGCAATTTTGTAATTTTATATGTACCATCTAAGGGGCTAAGTGTCACTGCCCCCCATAAGACCTTTGACTAATATCTTACTGCCCCCCACTAATATCTTACTGAACTGGGAGGTAAGATTATGTGTAGATGTGTGGCAAAAGAAGAGTATTACAACCAAATACTTGAAATTGTCTCCTTTACAATATTTTATTTTGTTTTCAGAAAACTATTGCTTAAGAACAAAAGAAATGAAAGACAAAATAATATAAATTAAAGTTCTAAGAAGTACAATTAAGCCCGTTTATATAACTGATTCTTATAATGTGATAAAATCTTGAGAGGAATCATCTTGGTCCTTTGTTTTGCAATTGATATTCTCTATTTATCTAATTTATTTAAGATGAGTTTGGTTTGATACTAAAGCAAGAGGGGAATAGAAAGTTGAGGGAAATTTTCTCGTTGATGTGCTTGTGACTTTTATTTTAAAAAAGAAAAGCCAAACATATCCCTTAAGCCAGTGTTATCATAATTGATCTTATTGTTGTTGAATGAAATTAGCCAAAGGCAATCCAAAACAAACATACTATATGTGTTCGGCTCAGGATCGATTCTATTGTTCTATATAATGCCAAATGGTGGACCTGGTTTGGCCAACATTATGACAGAATGGGTAATAAATTTGAGCGACCTGTTGCAATCAAAGTTACAAAAATTTCCATGAAAAGGATGTCATAACACCACTAAGTTCCCACATAAAAAGCTTAGTCTCAATTTTAGAAAACTGGTTAGTTTTTTTAGAATTTTTAGACGTAAATGCAATTCAACACGCCAACCCCTGAAGTGGGCGATCAAGCTAGGTGAATATGACTTTCAATTTAGTATGCCAACCCCTGAAGTAGGAGAACATAATACCATTTTGAAGGCCTTGACTAGTGTGGCACCTATCCCGACCTAGGATGAAGAGCCTTGGATTCTCTATGGGGACGGTTCGTCTAGTTAGAGAGGAAGTGGAGCTGGATTGATCCTCTACAAACTAAGTGAGGTCAAGTTGGAGTACACCCTCTGATTCGTGTTTCAAGCATTGAATAATGGAGCAGAGTACGAGACACTCATAACAGGGCTATCACAAGCCAAGGAGGTCGGTGCAAAGCACTTTGTCATTTGCAGTGACTCGCAGCTCGTGGTTAACCAAGTGAACAGACCATACGAGGCACGAGAGCTCGCCATGTTGGCTTATCTAGCCAAGGTTAGAGAGCTCCTCCCTTACTTCCGCTCTTGGTATATCCAACAAATTCCAAGGTTTAAGAACGTTGAGGCTAACACGCTCTCCAAATTGGTCGGTGCGACGGACAAGAGTTGTCGACATCGAAGACCTACCATGACCAAGCATTGAGAGGGTGGCAAAAGAGGTCACTCCCATTATGGTAGTAGAGTCGAATTGAATAGACGCACTTACTATGTAATCATAGGCGAGCAGTTGTATTATAGGTCGTTCACGTTCCCCTACCTGTACTACTTGCGGCCTACCAAGGCTGACCAAGTGCTATGAGAGATCCATGAATGTCTTTGTGGAAGACACTTGGGGGTACGACATTAGCTCAAAAAGCCCTGCGATAAGGGTATTATTGGCTTACGATGATAGGTGTTAGTGACATGCCAATATACTACATCAGCATGCTGCTGACCTGAGGTACCTAACTAGCCCCCAATGTTTTACAAACTGACCCAAAGGCCGAACTGTTTTTGCATCTGGGTTACGGGTCATTGGTTCGATCGATCGGGTCAAATGGTTCAGGTGTATGTATGTATGTGTACAAATATGTATTTTAGTAATAAATAATGTATAAATATATATATATATATATATATATATATATATTAAAAT